AACTGCCCCCAGGAAGGTGTGCACGTTTTGGTCCTTGAAAAGGGCGAGAGGGTTTTAAAGAGACAGAAAAGAGTTTTGCTCTTTTTCAGGCGTAGGCCCCTGAACCTATTTTGCAGCAGCAATTGGGGAAGTTCTAAGAATGAGGCGGCAGTGGAGCCCGAGAGGGCTGCTGGAAAGCTCTCCATCAAAGGTAGAAGAGGGCTCATGGTAATGGGATGTTAGTATAGGGATGGGTTTGGTGGGATAAGTTGCCATTGGTGAGGGGGCAATAATAAGAAGCTGCTGCATCCTGGAGAAAGGGAGGACAGGGACACATGAGCTGAGCGTTGGTTATCTGTGGCAATCCAGAGCAGAGAGCAGCTGAGCTTCGTGCCAGGTTTTCTCCCTACTGAAGCCAGTCAGGGGAGGCAAGGAAATGGGGACTTGCTTCTTAGGGAGTCATGATAGTTATCATCACCCCCATCACTACCTAGCACTGGCTTGAGGCCTGGCACATGCTTAGTGCTTGCTACTTTCCATCTGCACAGAGGTCACATTCAGGGAACAGTCACAGTGCTGGGAAATCACATGGATTCTCCACCGGTAGAACAATGATAAGGTTGTAGGCCAAAAAAGCCCATCATTTATATATTTTGTGATTTAACTGCTAAAGATCAATATCTAAATTATCAGTTAGCATTAGAATAAACCATTATAACAAAGGGAGCAACATGCAGGGGCTCAGATAAGGGGGCCCTTGACTGCTTTCTCAGCTAAGATTCCAGGGGGTGAAGTGCTCCAGGTCAGCAGGAAACTTAATCCATGCAGTGATTCAGGGACCCAGATTGCTTCCATCTGATTTATTCTCCATCTGCAAAACCGGTCTTCATGGCTCGCATCCCCACCTGAGCTCTGTCTCCTGCCAGAGCAACAGCAGCATTAGATTCTCATGGGACCGTGAACCTCACTGTAAACTGGGCAAGGGAAGGAGCGGGGCTGTGTGCTTCGTATGAGACTCTAATCCCCACCTCCTCTGATCCCTGGTCTATGGAAAATTATCTTCTACAAAACCAGTTCCTGGTGCCAAAAAGGTTAGGGACTGCTGCTCCAAATCATTTTCCTAATCTGTATAGGTCCCATATCCAGATTTCAGCCAGCATTTAGAAAAGGGAGTAAGTAAGAAGCTGCTTGTGATACAGACTGGTCCAGAAGTAGCACGCTGCCCTTCCATTGGTCACAGTGTGGTCACAGACACACCTTCCATTCCATGGGGGACACGATACCTGGCCAAGCAGCATGTCAGCTACAAGTCTGTCACTACAAAAGCCCAGGGAATGGCTTTTGGTGAAAACCAATTACAGGGGGCCTCGCCTGACATCCTAATCTGGTGGTTTTGCAGTTCTCTGGTTTATTTTTTTAAAATCTCACAAGAAGTATGTAGAATTCAATAATTCCCGATTCCTTTATAGTGGTTGTATGGTAACTTGGTTTAGTTTCCTGAAATTTTGTTCTGTTTGCTTTCTTAAGCCCTTCCGTCTTCCCTCAATCTTTAAAAGAACAAATGAATAAAGATTCCCGGGAGAATTTTCCAGCATCTTAAGGTAGTTGGTATTGCAAATCCAGGTTGAAGACTTGGAAGAGAGAAGAGTGATCTACGGAGGGAGCAGGATTCTAGACAGGAAAAGAGGGAGATTGAGATTGGTGGGGTACAGAGTGAAACCACCAAACTCCCCACAAACGGGAGCCCCACGGGAATAGGAATTTTTATTCCTCACTGTCTGCTTTTGTTACCTTGTGGCTGACTCTTCTTTCTCCCAAAGACAGGGCACTGTCTGGTTAATGATGAAAAGATTCACAGCACAAAATGAGCAGAAGAGCTGGGGGCAAACTTCCTTAGTTTAGAGTCAGGCTCACTCGTTTCAAATGAACACGCATTACTATTATGACAGACATTTAACAAAGATGACATGAGGGATCCTGGGATCCTATCTCCCCAGGATTTGGAATTTCCATTAGAAAAAAAAGCAAAGATCAAAAAACCAGTTTACCAAAAATGTTTAAATTCTGAGGTAGTGAGGGCTTCCTTGCATTTTTCTTTTTTTCTCTGGGCTCTGATCCCATGGAATAAAAGATATACCTGGGCGGCACCTGTGGCTCAGTGGGTAGGGTGCCGGCTCCATATACTGAGGGTGGCAGGTTTGAACCTGGCCCCGGCCAAACTGCAACAACAACAACAACGAAGAAATCATACTTGGAAACTATATGTCTTGCATCTCAAAAGTTTACCTCCTTTTGCTGGTGGGCTCTTACAAACCTTTACGCTACTCAATATTACAATTAACCCATTAGGCATAGTGTAATTAACTAGGGAGATTTTTCAATGGAAAGATACAATTGGCTTGGCGCCTGGGGCTCAAATGGCTAAGGCGCCAGCCACATACACCCAAGGTGGCAGGTTCAAATTCAGCCCGGGCCCGCCAAACAACAACAACGGCCCAGCAGCAAATGTTTTCATTGTGCTTTGCTTCTGTTACATTGAAAGAAGATTTTACATTTTTCTGGAAAGTTGTGCCTACGATTCAAACGTAGCCTTCTTGGCCTGTTCCCAGGGGGAGTTTCACCATAAAAGATGAATTGCAAAGTAATAGTTGAGTGGAGCCAACACAGTCAATGCAATTACCCTTTGGTACATTTTTGGGCTAATGATATTTAAGTCAATTTGACTGAGAAAATAAAAATAAATGTCAAACCAAATACCAAAGAATGAATAACCTACCACAAAATTGCTCGAATCATAAACGGTTCCCTGTGCTCTGAGATTGCCCTGAGAACCGTGTCAATACTCTGCTCTCCTGGTAATTAAAAAATCTAAAAAGCCAATTCTTATTTTGTCAAAGGCACAACTATGTAAATCCAACTTGGCCAATGACAAGTTTTGATTGTGTTTAAG